GCCAAAATTCATTGTTATCATTTAGTGGCTTAAAATTCCACAGCCTCATCGCTTTAAAGCATAATTGCTGCATGAAGTACTTTTCTTTGGAAGCACACACTTTAGTCAAGATAGGAGGATCTAAAAGGATTTTTTACTAACATTAAAATGTACCGATGTATTTTCAATATGACCATGTAAGTGTTATGCACGTAGCCTAGTTTATTATGAGTCGTTTCTATACTTTCGAATATTTAATTCTTATTTACTAATCAGAATATGAATGTATATATTTGTAAATTATTATCACACACACACACACACACACACACATATATATATATATATAATATATGATATATAATAATATATATATATAGAGACAGAGAGAGAGAGCAGGAGAGATTAATGCGGTATCCTTGTCATAGGAGGCGATTTCCTCCTAATGTCGCCTCTAAAATCACATGATGAGCGACATTGTGCGATGATCCGCTCCGTTGAACTTGACTTACATATTCTAAAACTCTAACACACCAAGTTTGGGGTGAACCCGTCATCGTTTGACCCTTCATCTACTCGTATCAATTTTAACGCGTTTTGAATGAATTAAACTTTTCACATGGCTCGATGGAGGTCAAAACGATGACGGATTCACCCCAAACTTGGTTTGTTGGGGTTTTAGAATATGTAGATCAAGTTCAACGCGAGCGGATCATCCACAATATCGCTCAATCATGTGATTTTAGAGGGGTCTCATAGGAGAAATCCCCTCCTATGACAAGGATACCCATTAATCTCATATATATATATATATATATATATATATTATATATAATATATATATTACTAATATATATATATATTTTTTATAGAAAATGGGTATGCTTGGTAGTGAGGTGACATAATCCCCTCCACTCATTTAAATGATTACATATCGCCATGCACTCCTCAACCCATGTGAATGTCGTCCCCATTTAAATGAGGGTGGGAGGGATTGGGCCACCTCACTACCAAGCCAAAATTTGTGCTTGGTACCAAGCGATACCATATTATCTCTCTCTCTCTCTTCTCTCTCTCTCTCTCTCTTCTATTATTACTATATATATATATATATATATATATATATATATATATACATATATATATATATACGAGAAAAACTTGTGTCAACTCAAGTGGACCATCCACCAAAGTTTCTATCCATTGATGAAAGTCTCTTCATATGATGCACGGATCTTTAGGTATCATCAATGGATAGAAACTTTGGTGGATGGTCCACTTAAATTGACATAAGTTTTTCTCTATATATATATGTTCATAATTTTTACAAATTTAAAATTAAAATACTTAAAATTTATGAAACTTATGTCTCATACTTTGAAGATTATGCCTCACGTCACCAAAAGGTTTAGCTTTTTGTCTTGTGCTCCTAATTTTTTAAACTTGGGTAGAAACTATTAAATAAAGAATATTAAATGAAGACTATTAAGTGAAAGCTATTAATTTTTCCAAAGCTTATAAAACGAGTCTAAATCCGTACCATTCAGTCATTGTAATGATAATTGGGCAATATTAAACTTTGGGTATAAGCATGATAATGATCAGGTTTGGGTTTTTTGTCTAGACTTGCTAACAACTAAAAGCTCCATCAGGCAAAATATAAAAAGAATAACTATCAAATGATCATTTCTATTAATAAAATAGTTTAGACATGTAACATAATATTTTTTGGCTAATTATTTTACATAATAATATTATAAAGTGCTTCATTGACCTTATAGTTAAAAAGTGTTTTCTTCGTTAAACAAAAAAACAATTCACATTCTCAACAACCCCCAGTTGATTACATTATGCATGACTCCAAATAATTTTAACCCATGAAATAAATTGATTATATTTTGATAACCCCCATTAACACATTAATTCCTTCTCAAACCCTTTCAAATTCTAACACCTCTGTATGTATAATGCACGTGCGTTGGGCATAGGTACACTCTAGGCAAGATAAGTTGACAAATTATTACAAGATTTTCTTTCTATTACAATTTAACCTCTAAAATATTTATATGTAGACTTACAATTCCACAAATAATATAAACTTATGTACAACAGAATAAAAATAAAATAAATAAGTACATCAATAAAATATATTCGATACAATTAGGATTCTACAAAGGCATCCCTAATAGTAAATTCCTCAAAGAATAGGATATGAACGCACAATGACATGCATGTGTTGCAAAACACAAAAAGGCTCTTGAAGCTTCAGAGATTCACTTCCAGTGACAACGAAGGAAGCAAAACGAAAGATTAGTTTACAAACCCATCAAATAATCTCTCTCACGCTATTAAATTCCGAAATTTACCTTTGAATGAATGATTGGCATTTCCATACATTTGTTTTTGATTTAATATTGAAATGTTGTTGATTATGATCTTTAATTTAGTTGTTGAGGTTGTTTGCATTCACTTTGAATTGAAATTATTAGGCATGTTTATGTGATGGTCTCAACAGGCTGGATGATAATAGTGGTTGCAAATAAGGGGTAAGTACTTTATTGTGGATTTATTTATCTATATCTACGTGTAATAACCAACATTTTTTCATGCAAACTAATTTATATGTTTGAATATGCAATATTTGTTATGAAAAGGCCCATAGGTATGTTCCACAAAGGGCCCAATTAGTGTCCAAGCTCAACCTAAAAAAGCCCACAAATCTATAATTTAAAATCTAAAAAAGATCTTAACCATATCTTCACTATCTCTTGTGATTTCTTCTCACGGATGAATCATGAGATTTTTCCTCAAATATCCGGAACTATCTACACCCACTGTAATGGCCAGAAAAAAAAATACAAATAAATAAATAAATAAATAAAATATTATAAAATCTTGTGGCGGAGTTTTTCACCACCGCTAAACATAGCGGTATTCTTTTCACCGCCTCCCAAAAGGTATATAAGGAGAGGAAAGGGGAGAAATTCAGGTTAAAAAAAAAGAGAGAAGAAGAAGATTATGGGAAAGGAAGAAGAGAGGAGTTTCACTTACAATCCAAGCTAATCGAAAGGTATAACCACAACCTTGTTTGATTTCTTAAGTAATTGAAAAAAAAAATTCTAACCTAGATCCGAGGAGGGGGTTGTCGCCGACCGCTCTTGGTCACCGATGATCCCCGTCGTCCTCTTGCCACCATGGAGAGAAAGAGAAAGAAAGAGAAGCACGAGAGAGAGAGATCGGGACGAACAGAGAGAGGAGTAGAAGAAGGAGGAAAAAAATAAGATGAGCAGAGAAGGGGGAACGGGAAGAAGAAAGGGTAGATGAGGGAGAATTAGGGGGAAAAAAATTTAAATAACGAAATTATTTTGGGACCCCTGAAAATTTATAAGTTTGTTTTCTGGTCCAGAATATATAATAGGAAAATTCTGTTTAAACCTTGTTGTGTTATTAATATTTTCAAGAGACTCAAGCATAAGGGTTAAACCATGAATAGGAAATGATAGTTACCTATGGACCCCTACCATTCTTTCTATTTACAAATAAGTCCAATCTGAAGAATTAAATATAACTTTTGGATCAGATAAATTCCATATAATCCCTGTCTTATCGTAAATTACTAGAAAGTCCAAAAGCTAGTATATGAGAGTTATAAAATTTTGATATATTGCTAGAGTTAACAATAAGCTCATATGTACTGTAGAATTTAATCATTATTAGTTATATCTGAATTTATTAGACTCTAGATTATGAATTGATTTACCTATAATATATGTTTGTTCTGAATTAATAATTAGTCATATATCTTACATTATAGGTTCTGGTTGATATTCGGGAGAATAATAGTTTGAGAAAGTCGTGACCACTAGAGGTGAGTTCATTTCTCACTAGTATTTTATAATATGAAATTGCATGAGTTTTATATTTGATTTATCTTGTGATAAAAAATAAATCAATAAGTAATATGTCTTTTCATATATGTCAAGATTTGACCTATTTCTGTTGTGGTCTATCCTATAATATAGTGTTAGCCTGATATATGAAAAGCAAATTTGATTTTTATATAAAATGTGAAAAAAAAGAATTTGGCTCTCATGCAATTTTCAAATAATCGTGGACATTGTTTTATCTGAATATTTTGATGAGGTATTTGGAACGTATTTTAACAGTTTAACGGATTCAAAGATTCTTTGTGACTTAGTATCTGATAAAAGAAAAATCTGTAAACTGTTTTAACAGAAATGAGGAGCTTTACCTTGTCAATTTCATTTGAAATATCTGCAAATTCTGATATGCAAAGTATTTCTCATTTGACATGTGATCTCGATGTTTTCAAACCCTCAAATAGTCCACTATGGATTGGTTCTGCCTACTATATGGTGAATGCACCTTTATTTGGCCCTTCTGTATTGGCCCTTCTGAAATCTGTTCTGGCCCCTCTGTATTTGGCCAGCAGCCTATGACAGTGTTAGGTGCATTCAATTCCCGGGAATTATCTGTTATCTGATGCGCTTTACACATTCCCTTGCTACTGGGCTAAAATTTGTAGCCTTAGTGTGACATATGAGGTGATTATTGTGTTTCATGAATTACTAGCTGGAAATGTGGAGCTAAGTGTTATACGGGGCTAAGTGCTACCCGGTATGAACACGGTGGGAGCCACCTCTAGAGCCCGTAGAAACCATTTCTAGAGTCCACATCGCCTGACAGTAATAGATTTGTGATTTTGAGATTTGAACGTGAATTCAAAGAACACGACTCATCAGATTTAAGATTTTGACAATTGGCTGCAAAATTGAGAAAATAATAGTCCTCTGGTTTTTGTACCCAATTTAGTAATTTCTTTTCCTTCTTAATGTTTACCTTGATTCAAAAAGGATTTGATTCCAAGAAATTTCACAGTTTATTCAGTTGCACATGAGAAATGAAATATAATTGCTGTATTCTTTCTTAAAAATGACAATATTACGATATTTGGATCGTATTTTACTAACTTTGAATTTCTCATGCAAAATTTGTAATTCGTTATTTCTGAGAATTATTCTTATTACTATTTTGTTAGTTATCTAGGAACTCTAGTGAGAAATGTTCTCATTCTTATTACTATTTTGTTAGTTATCTAGGAACTCTAGTGAGAAATGTTCTCACTGAGCGCTAGCTCACCCCGTTGTTTTTAAATTGTTAGTTATCTAGGAACTCTAGTGAGAAATGTTCTCACTGAGCGCTAGCTCACCCCGTTGTTTTTAAATATTTTTTTCAGATCAGGCGTAGCTTCCTACTAGCCGAATTTTGGTTTGAACTTTTGGCTGAGAGGCGTTATATGGAGGGTCTCTTCATTTTGGTGTTACCTTCAGCACAATTTGTTTTGTTTTATAAAAATGCTTATAATAGTGAGCTTATGGGCTGTAAGTACCGATCATATATATAGTTGCTCTGACTTCTATCATCAGCAGATTTATGAATATTTAAAATAAACTATGTGATATGAAGTGCCAGGCTTGACCCGTGCATAAGATTTGTCTCGTGTACGGGTCGTTGCTGTCGCGCACCCCCTATTTTATGATATTCCGCTGCAGTTTCGGGGCGTGACACCCACGAATCATAGAAACGTTTGGAAAGGAAAGAAAACTTCTAAAGATAAGATATAACTAATCCTATCTCTTTGTAACCAAACCGACTAATGAAAATCCCTCAATCTTAGGGATATCCTACTCAAACAACAACAACAACAACCAAGTCTTTATCCTAAATGTTTGGGGTTGGCTACATGGATCTTATTTTTAAATTCCATTCTGTTATGGGTCATCTCCTCCGTTAAGTTAGTCTTAGTCATATCCTTCTTAATTGCTTCTAACCAAGTCATTCTAGGTCTACCTTTAGATCTCCTAGCCCCATTAACTCTAATATTATCGTTTTTTTCTAATCGATGCACTAAGGGGTCTCCGTTGTACATGACCAAACCATCTTAATCTATTTTCTCTCATTTTATCCTCAATATGCATAACCTCTAATGTACTACAGATGCACTCATTTCTTATCCAATCTTTTAATGTATACCCACAAAACCATCGCAACATTCTCATTTCTGCTACTCATTTTTTGAACATGTTATTTTTTAATTGCCCAACACTCTGATTCATAAAGCATAGTTGGTCTTATAACCGTCCTATAGAAATTTTTCTTTAGTTTCATTGATATTCTATGATCACATAAGACTCCCAAAACACTCTTCCATTTCAACCATCTTGATTTGATTCAATGCACAATATTATCCTTTATCTCACCATCATGTCTAATGATTGATCTTAAATAGAAAAAATGATTACTTTTACGTATTTCTTGGTCATCAATATGTACTATAGGCTCTCTTCCTTTTCTAGTTTTACTAAAAATGCACTCCATATATTCTATTTTTGTTCTACTAATTCTAAAATTTTTAGATTTAAGAGCTTGTCTCCATATTTCTACTTTAGAAATAATGTCTCTTCTAATTTCATCAACTAATATTATATCATCGGTAAATAACATACACCATGGAATTTCATCCTAAATGTGCTTAGTAAGTTGATCCATGACTAATGCAAAAAAAAAAGGACTTAAAGTTGACCCTTGCTGTAAACCTATGGTCACAGAAAATGCTTTGGTCTTTTCTTCATTAGTTCTTGCGCTAGTTTTACATAATGTCATGTTTGAACAATTTTTGGTTTGATGTATGATATGATGTTTGTATTCAGCCCCTCCTTAAAAACAATCCTGGCTCTGTCACTGGCTGAACTAGTGAAATAACAAGCTGTCAGAGCAGCAAACTTCGTGAAATGTACAGACCGAAATTCTTTAAAGACTTATGTTGAAGATGCCTCCTATAGCGTTTACCTTTGGGTTGTTCACGTCAAGTAAATAAAGTTTAATTCTATGATTCTATCCCAGTTCAGTCAGCTGCATAGCTAGGAAATTGTTAATGTGCTTTATATGTATTTTTATATGTTGTTTGCATCAAAGTAAAACTGAAATATGAAACTGATATTACACAAACAATGCTTCACATTATTCATGTTTATGCAGTACATCTCATTGGGTTTAGTTCCTAAAAGCAATATAATTTTAATTTTTTATGAGCATAAACGTAAAACCCTAAGCTACGAAAGTGTGCAATAACAGGTTACTATAGAGTCTAAAATGCATATAAGCATATTTTATAGTTTATGAAAATTCAAACAAGTTATGAGTATAACAAGATAGCTAATAAGAATCTTCCTGATATGCGACTCATTTGATATTTTGCTTTGTGCATTGAATCTCTTTTTATGTCTTCTCACGAGTAATCATCCTTGATTTTCATAATAACATGGTCTCTCTATAGATAATGCAAGCATAAATTCATATATCTAAAAGAAAGTATAAATACATATGAGCCTTGTATTGATATTTGGAATTTATAATATGTGTTTGTGAAATAAGTTAAGGGAAGAATTTTTTTAATGTTGGAACACACATCGGAGTTGCAATCACTTCCGCTATAAGTTTAACTATTTAAGAAATTATTTTGTTTAATACAGCAAGCATTTCCTTCTCATCCTATCACTTCTTTTCCTATTACTTGGCTGTTTTAATGTATATCATCTAAAATTACTATTTTGCCTAAATTATTTAAAGTTATCACAATTTCTATCATTGTAATAATAAAAAAGTCTAAATCTCCATAAAGTCATGCATAAGAAAATTCCTAGTGATTGCAATGACCAAATATTTTAAAAAATCATTAAGCTTTATCTCTCAATTCAATCTAGACTTGAATTTTGCAATTTCTTTTTATTTGTCAAAAAAACTCTATATTTTAAATGTAATATGAGCCTTTAGCTTCAAAAAGTTAACGAAATTTTTAGGTCATGATTATGCAAAGTGCTCATGTATATTAAAGGTTCCTTTTCTTCTAATATTTTTTACTAAGTTAAAATATACAAGTTTAAAGTATATATGTACCTGGGAATTTAATATTTCATACCACTATAATTTTACATTAAAAATCTACTCATTATAGTAATATTATTTGATGGTTTAATAGATTACCAAAAATACATCCAAAAGAATTTTAAAAAATTAATAACAGAGCACGTCTCAAGACTAATAACTAAGAATTTATATTTAAAATTATACGAAACATACCTTAGAACTGTTGTTTGAAAATGTCGTTAAAACAACTAACATAATAATAAGAAAAAAGGAGAAATAGAAAATGTTGACATATTGGTAATATATAGGGACTTATTTGTAAGTTGTGTTTTGTAGGGGCCTATATAAGCCCAAGTTATCACAGCAATGAATTAGGGTTTCAATTCTTTTTGGTATCAGAGCTAACCCTAGCCGCCGTCCCCCCCCCCC